GGGGGGGTGGGTGATGGTAATGAATGACGGGATTTGCAACGTTTTTGTCCCTGGGCACGTTGCCACCCAGCCGTTTCTGGAGCAAGAGGAGTACTTGCAAGCATGCATTCTTATTGCGAGCAGTTGTTTGATATTTGCGGAACAGGACACCCTGTCGCAAGCTTCCACATGCAAACGTGCAACAACTGGAAAACCCAATAGAGTTCGTTTGGGCTTTTTTTCGCGTGTTGATTTCACGCACAAAGCGGTTTGTACATTGTAATGCTGCGAAAGTGCTTCCAGACCCAAGGCATTGATTTCTAGCCTGCTGAGAGAATTGTTGCAACTATTATCCGTAGTGCACATGGTCATGTCCATGTGGTTGCGGGTCTGCACTTCTTTCTGCTTGAGTGGAGCCTGCCCACAACAAGGTCAAGGACAAGAAGTACAAGGCAAACATGGTCGCAAAGATGGTACTTGGAGGATCATGGGACTTAGTAAGTAAGGTTATAAGTACCCTAAATGGGGTTATAACTATAGTTACCTTATTTATAACCCCAGTTACTAAGTCCCATGATCCTCCAAGTAGTATCCAGTCATCGTCTCGTGTTTTGCTTTTTCTTTTGGAATGCGACTTTCATCCGGACCCAAGCCCTGAGGCCCTAAAGCCCAGACCCAAGGCTGAGGACTTTGCAAAAGCAGGAGTCTTGGGTTTAGGGTTTAGGGTTTAGGGTTTAGGGTTTAGGGTTTAGGGTTTAGGGTTTAGGGTTTAGGGTTGAGTTTTAAAGGTACTCCGGCATCAGAGACAGATGCTTGATCCATCCCAGCTCGTTGCGTATCCGTTTTGGGGGATGTTCTGGCACATGTGCGTGTGTGTGTGTGTGTGTGAATGCTGTTACTCGGGATTTCTGAACCGTAGAAGGCACTTCAATTTCGCTCTCTTCAGTGTCGGAGTCGTCTTTCATGTCAGGACCCTCTAGAACCGGTCTGCATCCTGCACCCACACTTTCCTCAGCTTTCACTCCGAATCCAATCTCGAAACCTGCTTTCACGCGGCCTTGTGCAGGTCTTTGTCGCCGAGGGCGCCGACGTTGCCCTGCTGTACGCTTGCACGATTGCGCACTTCAAGGTGAATGACGAGATCCCTCAAAGCAACGGGGTAGGTGGGGGTGGCCCTTGAGTGCCGCTGTTCGGGAGAACATTTTCAGGATTCTTGCTTCGAGCGTGGGAGGTCCCAGAGAGCCTATTACCCCTTAACCAAGGAATATACCTTAAAGGGATCTATGAGGGATCCATCAGGGAATTAAGGAAATATACTAATATACCTTGAATTATAATATTAGGGCCCCTATAACTTAAGGTATATTCCTTATTTAAGGGCCCTAAACCCTAAACCCTAAACCCTGTCTGGGTTCAGGATCTTCAGAGCTCTATGCCGTCTTGGCATCGCGGGAAGATGCTTGGACCGAAGGTCCCTTCTTCCTTTGCTCTCCTCACCGCATCAGCCCAGAGAGCCCAGTACCCCATAGATAAGGAATAGACCTTAAATTATAGGGGGCTTAATATTATGAAGGTATATTCCTTCATACAGGGGTATTGGCCTCTCTGGGTCACCGCATCAGTTGCACAGCAAACTGGCGCTGTTCCGCCGGCTTTTGCGCCGCATTTTGCGCTGCGAGGGAAGTTTGACTCAAGCAGCGAAGACCCTGTGCGCTGCTCTGCCAAACCGTAGGCTGCATGCTGAAGGACGCTGAAAACATGGCTTGGGGGTTGTTCAAGCATTCCCAAAAAGCCCAATTCCCCTGAACATACCTTCAACCATAATATTTAGGCTTCCATAGCAGGTTAAGGTATATTCCTTATTTAAGGAGCTTCACCGGCGTAGCAGTGGCAGAAGCCATACGGTAGCAGTGGTGGTGGAGCTAGCAGTAGTAGTTGAGGCAGTGTTGGTGCATCGTAGCTGGTATTCGCTTGACAATAGCAGGAATAGTTACTACTTGACGTGGTGAGCCAATCACTGACCTTTAGCTACCGACCCATCCAATATGAAGCCTCAGATCCAAACCCTTTTCTCTACGTTGTCGAACTGTGCATTCTGATTTGCAAGATGTCGCAGCACGAACCAGAACCCTAAACCCTAAACCCTAAACCCTAAGTCCTAAAATGCCCGACCCTCAATCCAAAATCTGAAACTCTCCGTCCAAGAACCGCTCAGTCCTCAAGTGCACAGAAAATCTGGTTAAGGCCTCACCGGTGTGTTCTTTGTGACGACAGAGACTCGGTCCAAGAGCAGTTCGGGTTGCTTTCGGGATGGGTTTCTTTCAGAGGGCCTTGGGGGAGTTTGGGGTTTAGGGTTTAGGGCTTAGGGTTTAGGGTTTAGGGCTTGGGCAGAAAATTTCTTGGTTGTTTCAGGTCAAGGCTTTTCAGCGTTTGGGAAGGTTGAAGGGGGACATCCTCAAACCCCAATCCGTAAACCAACACAGATAGGCTTGTTGCTTCCATACGATCCAGCTTGTCTTGATGCAGCACTGCAGGGAAAGTACTTGAGGACGAAACCCTGAGCAGGCTCGGTGCTAGCACGAACAGCAGGACTAGTAGTAGTCGTGGTTGCAGCATTAAAAGGTGTAAGGTAGCACGGCGGTGGCAGTTGTGGTGGTAGTTGTGGTGGTAGTAGTAACGTAGCAGCAGCAGCAGCAGCAGCAGCAGGAGTAGTAGTAGTAGTAGTAGTAGTAGTAGTACTGTTGATGATATAAA